TGTGGAGGCTTAGCAGCCTCCACCCCGATTTCAAAGGATATATGGATAAGCTTGGGCACCCAGGAAGAGACCTGTCATAAGGGTGAAGGCACCACAGACAGACTTCACTAGAGTAATCCCTAGAAGAAACGTGGGGTTGGAGTTGCAGCAGAGAAGCCCCATCAGCACTATGCCTAGTGGAGTTGAGAGTGGACCGCCATGGACACCCCAGACCTGTCCTCCCAGCGTGAAATGCAGCCTGCAAGAGCTGAAGCATCACCTGAGACCAGGAAAGCCATAGAAGTGGAGCTGCCTGAGGACTTAAGGACCCGTCACCTGCACCAGGATGCAGAGGACGTCGGTCACGGAGTCAACGTACAAGATTCGCCAGGTTTAAGGCTCGATGCCTGCCCTGCTGGGGTTTGGACTTGTTTCGGACCTGTAACCCTTTCTTTTGGCCTATTTCTCCTTTGTTGAATGGAAATATGTATCCTACGCTTGTCCCACCATTTTATCTTGGAAGTAGAGAATTTGTTTTAATTTCACAGATGGGATTTTGGACGTTGGACTTTTGAGTTGAAACAAGATTTGGGGGATGGAATGAATGTATTTACCTGTGAGAAGGACATGAACTTTGGGGGCCAGGGATGAAATGAAAGGATTGAACTGTGTCCCCCAACTTTTATGCATTACAAGCTTGATCCCCACTGTGACCATTGGGGGGTGGGAAGTCCTATTATGGTCATTGAAAGGTGGGGCCTTGACAAGGAGATTGGATCGTGAGGACTGTGCCTAGTGCATGGATGGATCCATTCTCTGAGTAATAAACTGATAGATTGATAGTGGTCATGGGCATGGTTCTGAAGGCATTAAAAGGACCCAGCTGAGACCCTGCACACTGTTGCCACCAACAAGGCCTTCACCAGATGTGTTCCCTGGACTTTGGACTTCCCAGCCTCCAAAACTGTAAGAAATAAATACTGTTTCTTTGTAAATCACCCAGTTCCAGGTATTTTGTTACAAGCAAAAGAGACAAACTAATACAGAAAATTGGTGCCAGAGAAGCGGTGTGTTGCTTATAACAAACACACGAAAATTTGGAAGAGGCTTTTGAACTGGGTCTTAAGGAGAGGCTGGAAGGATTTGAAGGAGCGGCTAGAAAATGCCTAGCTGCTCGCGGCAGTTTAGCAGACAAGAAAACCAGGGAGAGTTTGGAACTTCTTAGAGACTGGTTACGTGGTGGCAAGCAGGATGCTGATAGAAATATGGACAGTGGGGCCGGCCCGTGGCGCACTGGGAGAGTGTGGTGCTGATGACACCAAGGCCCCGGGTTCGGATCCCATATAGGGATGGCCGGTTGGCTCACTGGGTGAGCGTGGTGCTGACAACACCAAGCCAAGGGTTAAGATCCCCTTACCGGTCATCTTTAAAAAAAAAAAAAAAAGAAAAAAACGAAATATGGACAGTAGAAAATCAATTGACTGTACAGATTTACAATAAAGGATATTTTAAAAAATAGAAATACGGATGGTAAAGGCCACTCTGAGATCTCAGATGTAAAGGAGAGGGGCTTATTGGAAACTGGGGCAAAGATGGCCCTTGCTATGAACTTTAAAGGAATTTGGCTGCGTTCTGTTCATGTCCAAAACTTTCATGGAATGAAGAATTTCAAGATGCTGATCCACGGTATTTGCTGGAAGAAATTTCTTAACAGCAAAGAATTCAGGAATCCGCATGGTTACTTGCAACAGCATATTCTGAGTTATGGTGGCAAAGACATGGAATAGGCCAGAATTTCTAATGACAAGGGAAGGAGAGGGCATAGATTTGGA